TTTTTTTTTTTGTAAAATGAACATGTCAACTTATAAGATGAACATGTTATGTTATAAGATGAATATATTTTATTATCAGCTGAATATATTAATTATAAGATGAACATGTTTCTTTCTCAGATGAACATGTTTATTAACACGATGAATATGTTGATTTTGTACAAGATGAATAAGTTGATTTTGAACGTAATATGTTTCTTAACATGATGAATATGTTTTATTGTAAAATAAGTTCTCAAGTTATAAGATGAAGATGTTATGTTATAAGTATGTTTTATTATAAGCTGAATATGTTAAATTATAAGATGAACATACTTCTTTCTTAGATGAATATGTTTGGGAATTAAAACTTTAATATATTAAATAGTGAGAATTAATTAGTGAGAATTAAATAAATAGTGAGAATTAAAATTTTAATGTATTAAATATTTTATTTATTGATATTATCTTAAGATTTCTTAAATGATTTATGGTTTTCTTAATAAAATAGATGCGTGTATTTCAGGACAACAAATATTTTCGGATTCCACTTTTACTAGTCTTGGCTCGCGCGTGAATTTCTGTCCTGGCACACCTAGCAAGGTGTGACAGGGCACACAGTAGTACTACTGGCACAAACCGGGCTATGATCTGATATTAAAAAGAAAAATGGAAAAATGTCATAATGAATTTTTACTACCCGTCCCACCCCAAATTACTTATTTGCCCTTTACCTATCTCTCTCTTACTTACTCTTTCCCTTCGAACTCACTACCTCTTTGCCCCCACTTTTCACCGCAAAAAAATAAATAAATAAATAAATCCAAAAAAATGTCAAATCCTCGCGGGGGCCGAGGCATGGGATTTATGATTGGCTCGGTATGTTTTTCTTTTTTTTTTGGCATTGTAAATAATTTTAAGAAGGCATTTACAAGAAATTGTGTTGTGTAGCCTGCCGCTAAGGAGGTGTTTGGCCGCAGATTGCAGCCAGCTAGGAAGCGACGGGTACCTAGGTTTCGGCAACACCGTCCGCGACCGATATTTGGGGTCAGACGCAGCATTGGTGTCCGCCATTTGTAGCCGGAGGAACGGTAAACAACTGTCTTTGGTGGCCTGCCAATCCCAAGGCTGTCGTTTTTGCCGTCCAGTCATGCGGTCGGTGACCGGAGGTCGGAGGCCGACCAAAATTTAATTTATTTATTAACTGGAATTATTAAAATATTTTTAAATATTTAAAAATAGAACGAATTTATTTTTTAATTTTGGTTAATTTAGATAAATTTTAGTTTAGTAGTTATTAATAATATACTACTTATAAATTATATATTATATATAATAGTTATATGTAATTATATTAAAATTGTGATAAAAATATTTTTAATTGTAATAATTGATAATAGGATAATGCATCTGACTTTAATATTTTTAAGAAACGAAGTAGCTATAATATATGTAACAAAATGATTTTTTGAGTAATTATTACTTTCACAAAACTATTATTAGTATTTTAATATAAGTTGAAAAATTATATTTTTTATTAACTAATTAGTTGTATAATTATACAATCAAAAAGTGGAATTATTGTAATTTTGTGGTTACAAATAATTACTAAATTATTTTTTAATACTTTTTAAGAAAATAATTACTTGTAATATTAAATATTGTATTTTAGGGAATAGTTATAATTAACAATATTAATTATGATTAGTTTGTGTATATTATTAATAAATAGTTGGTTGTAATTATCTTATAATAATTAATAAAATATCTGAATTTAAAAAAGTTATTTATTAATTATTAGTTTAAATTATTGATTTAGGCTGGTGGTAGACCTGGTCGACAAGCCACCGATGAAGAGGTTGCCGAGTATTTTGGTTCTGGACCCCGACACACGAAGAGTCAGTACGTAGATGCTTTCTCTCGTTAGGGGAGAGAGGAGATGATGCGTCAGATTCGCATGAGACAGATTGGTCACGCAGACCAGGCCGGCAGTTCGAGACCCCCTGCACCGGTACAGAGTGGTCAACAGTCCTGCTTATTCTTGGTTAGCAGTTCGAGACCTCTCGCTTCGGTACCGATTGGTCAATAGCGGGCTTATTATTATTAGTCGACAACTGAGAGGGTGTTGTCCTCAGATGTGTCTAAAGACTATGTGTAACATCTCGCCTTCTACTTCTTGACTTTTAAAAATCAGAGTTAATATTTTGCTTTTTATTTCTGAAAAACTCTTAACTGTTATTTTCGAAAATGCTCATACTGACTCGCGGGATGTTACTAAACTCTATTTTTCTTATCTCTTTCTCATGCAAACATAATATAATCAAATCCATTTAATAAAGGTATAATTGAGATAGAGGTATTACACATGCATAAGTCTGAAGTCTCATTATAACATACTGTTCTGAATATGCGGAAGCTAAAACATAATAAATGTTTGTCTCATTTTTGTTACGTTTTTCGTTGTTATTTTTCTTTTATTTTTCCCCATTTTAGATCCTTTTGTTGATCTTTAGTTCGGTTTTCCGTATATTGTGTGTTTTCATCTATCTCGGTTGTTTTCCAGTATTTCTTCGTATGTGGTGTGCAGGTCAGGAGATTCGGGAGAATTTATTTTCCATAACAAATGGACATGGCGAACATAATTAAATAGAGTGTTGCGTTGGCGTCATAGGAAAAAGCAAAATTAAATTCCGAGTCCAGACGAATCCGCACGAGCCCGAGAAGCAAAGTCGTGCATATATTATTTTAACATCGTTCACACGGAATTATTGTTTTTTTTTTACATCTGTGATGGCCACTCTGGGACTGTAAATTATACTGGAGTCAATTCGCCAACTTCTTTCAAAGTCGGGCCTGATATGGACCATGATGAGGAGATGTAGATGATAGGAATTATGGTATCAGTCAGTTTATTAAATCATAGAGCCTATGCTAAAAACTAAAGGACACTAACAGATTCTGCACATTTCCATCTTCATCTCCACGGCACACCTCCATTTCCTCTCCACGGAGCACCTTCACCTTCACGGACAGCAATTCCTCTTTCACGGCAAACAACATCACCACCCTCTCACCACCACGCCGCGCCCACCTCACCTTCACGTTTGCACTCTCTGCTCCACGCCGTGGCAAACAGTCCCTCCACGGCGCACCACAGTACCTCTTCACGCCGCGAGACCTCACCACGGCGCGGAACCAACCACCCTCGCGCCGCGGCAAGCCTGCCACGCCGCGGCACCCTGCGATTTTTCCCTGCACGCTGGAATTCCCCTTCCGCGGCCACGGCTCCTCCTTCTCCGCGGCCGCAGCGAACAAGCGGTCCCAAATTCCCATCCTCCTGCAGCAAAAAGACGTGGCCTCGGGAAGAACCACGGCCGCGGATCTCTCCTTTCACCGTGGCTGCGAACCGCGCGTTAGCAGATTATTAAAAATCTAATTTTTGTGAGCGATTTGGTTATGTTGGATACCTAGGTTTTTAATTTTCTCTCGTCCCTTTCTTTCCAGAACTGATTTTTACTCTTAGTTTACATCTTGGGAATTGATTTTGAGGGTGAAAAACTCAAAAATTAATATTTCCAGATTTGGTTGCTCTCGTTTTCGATGTTGGATATTAATCGTAAGCTTTCTTTTCATTTATTATGATTATGATGGCTTAGATTATTGTGAATGTTGATGTTGAATGCATAATGAGTAGCTAAATTCGTTAGCTAGGGTTAGGGGATTCTCGTTCCGGTTCATTCTCGTTTATGTGTTTGTTAATCGCTCAATCTTTCCGAGTTGTGTTGATTTTAGAGTTAGATGATTGTTCACCATCTTAATCTATTTTATCGATTTTAGAACAGAA